CATTATATGTGCAGTGCGCTTGTGTAATGTATTGGGCATTATATTATCCAATATTCAGTGGGGGAAGTGGAAGCAGGTGAAGAAGGAGAGGTATCTCCTCAAGATTCTTATGCATTGATATTTTCCCAGCCTTCTAAATATGCTTAAAGAACGCACATGCTCTAACTACATTTGTATATAACAATTTTATTATGATAACGTAGACATGTAAGATGTTTTCTAATACTTGAACTCATGCTAAACAGAAGTTGAATCTTATAACAGTATAGAAGTATTATTACTTTCATTCGTCTAATGTAGCAGCCAATAGACTGGTAGAGAATATCGACCCAAACACAACTTGAATGATAACAAGCGAGCGATTGTACACAACTGTATCCACCAATTAAGTGAGTGAGTGAGTTTACGTTTATAGTCACAGCGGCAGTATTGCAGCAATATCGTGACTTAAAATAGTTATAAATTCATAAGAAATGCGCAAATTTTAAAAAACTGTCGACGAAGGACAGTAAAACCAACTAGTATATCAAATACATAAGAAATAAAACTAGCATATATATCTAAAATAGGATTTCAAGTTAGGACAATACAATATAAAACAGGGCCGAGGATCGCCAACAACTAAAGGTAGATCACCACTCTAGGGACCATGGGGACTTACAGTACTCCACCAATTAGGATTAACAGATATACTGGAATTATGGTGGGAATTAACATCCTTTGAAAGACATGGTCTTAGGATAATAAAGAAACTATAGCACTCCTATCCCCAGTGAAGGCACAGCCACAAATAATCTCAGATCAATATTATACACTGCCAATGTATACGAAACAACTCTGTACATCAAAATGTATCATTTGTTAAAGTGGAAAAATGTACACAGTTGACATGCCTGACGATGATTGTTTCATCACAGAGACTACACAGTGGAGTGTCCTCATCTTTTAAGACATATTCACGAGTAGGTCGTGAAGGGCATCATCATACAAAGACTTATTCCAATCTAGACTGAGAACCCACATGTAACCGATAGTTCATATAATATAGTATTCTACTTTTGCAGTAGATCACGGGTGTAAGATCTAATTAGAGCTGTTAAAGAAACGGGAGAGTCTGGCAACCTGGCTGATTCAAGAACTGCTCCGGTGATAGCTGCGCTGGTAGTCACTATGTATGGATCAATCTAGAAATATAGACTTGTTTGTATTACAGGTACTTCTGATTACATTCTTATTTGTACTGTGATCGATTTGTTTCTGGTGCATTTAGTTTGGTCGAGATTATGGCTACCCGTGGCATTAGCAAGTATCCCGGGCTGTTTAAAGCGTTTTTGGGGGGATATCTGTCTCTTCAAATACAGAAGTCCATCAGTGGGTCTACAACTCTTTATATGTCAGCTAAGTTTGCAATTACATGGTAGTGCAGCAACGGCCAGGCAGCATCACAGAGGCGATCGTCAGCCCACCTGCCTAGGCGCTGTCCAAGGGTCAAGTCCCGCTACGTTAAGAATCCATTGTCTATATACTATACTGACTGCCAGGCTGCCCTGTATCGTATTACGATACATGTATGGTCAACCTGCAGTATCCAGCATGCACCTCATCCACAATGTTAAACTTCCGTGGCCAGCCGGCCATACTCTAAGGTTCATTGGGGTTAATTACACGTAGGCAGCTGACCTGTACATGGCTGTGCTGATGGTCATGATAATAAGCTGCTATTATTTCATGTATATTGTCAGCACTGGGATTTAGATTTAGATAACACAACTTTAACTCAACTCAGAAAATATACAAACATGTCTATATTTCCCGATAAAACCCATACCCGATCAAAGTGCCTACGACATAAGTGGAAAGAAAGACTTCGAAAAAGAGACAATCCACTTCAAAATTGGCAGCAGAAACGAAAAGTTGAATCTTTTCCCAAGAGTTGGATTATGATACAGATCCTTATAAAGGGGGTTAAATACACAGTTACAGTAAGTAAAGAAAGCTTAACGCAGCCTTGTTTAAGAGATGGCTCATCTCAAGGTAAAGACGAGAGGTGCGGAAAGATCAAAGACTTTGTCTTAGAACTTCATGAAGGATGTAATCAAGTTGTTTGAGGTTGGTTTTCATTGCAGGGTCAACCATATATGATGAAACCATAGTCAAATTTTGAACGAACAAGTGATGCGATGAAGTAGGGTTATCTGATCACCTCCCATCCTTGAACTTTATGAGGCAAAAAGGGTAAGATGTCAGTCAAACATGATTCCCAAGACAAAATAATCAACAAACAACGGACAATTCAATGGGGAAAGTAAAAACATTTAAAAAAAAAAGACGATAGCATTTTCCACTAAACAACGTTACCGGTAATATGCTACCTTGTGGGACACACTGATCTTCATCATATACACAGTCAAGATGGATCCAACACGAATCTGGAAATGTCTACTTGTATATACTGAGATATAAACTTAGGCAACAGGCATTTCACTCCCATCCATTGAAGATCTTTTAAAATTCTATTTTTCCAGATTGTAACGGATGCTTGTTCTAAGTAAAATAATGTAAAGTACACCATGTTCTTTATTCATCAAGGCATTTTTAACAAACGTTTCCAATACGACCTATGGTCAGTGGTACACCTTTGTTTCCTAAAGACTATTCATTACAAATGTCTTGTTTCTGAATACCATATTGATCTATTGTTGACATTCTTTCAGCGAGTTAGTCAGTTATGATTTAAAGTAACTTCGACGGTATTTCAGCCATATTGCGACTATGGAAGCTTTACATTGATAAAAACGAACTTAAACCACATATGTCTGTCACAAAGAACAATAAAATAGCTGCATTATCACAGAATTACATTATACTTTATAAAACCCGGCTATGGATTGCCAGCAACTGAAGGTAGATCGCCACCAACTGAAGGAAGATAACCATACTAGGGACCATGGGGACTTACCTGCATGGACCCTAGCTGGATTTAAATCACCCCCTCAGTTGTTTTAAGCAAATTAGCTATACATTAAAATGACACATTGAATGGTGCGGTGTTACGTACCTCTCCGGAGGACAATAGACATTCTTTCGGTGGTATTACTGAAGACAGCTGGTAAGTGATATCGACTTGTGATTAGAAAGATAAGCATGGTCGGGTCCCTAATAGTCATCAGGTAATCGCTTAAATAACCGACACTGAATATTAACAATAACCTGTAGTAATATAGTGAGGTTGCCCTAAGGGGTATGCAGGTCATCGATGGAAAATACTTTTTCACCATTATTTGAATTAAAAGTCGTTATCTTTTTTCTACGTGGTCTTAAAATTCTAAACTTTCGGTGTAATTTGAATAGGACGAATGCTTAGCTAAACTCAGAGATTTGTCAGTAGTCCCGACTCCCTCGTAACGAGGTTCTAGAAGCCTCGGTTGTTACACGCTGATATGGAATGTCCTGAGACCGGAGTTTAAATTCCCCATGCTTTGAAATGGCATCTGAGCATAATTGGTGCTTATGCCAAATGTCTTGACTATGAATTTCAGTGAGGAAGTCAAGCATTGTTTTCTCACAAATTTTCAGATGACATTTGCTTTCAGTTTTGACCAACTCAGTTGAATGTCTTAAGATCGGCATGTAACTATACCACCCTAGACTCACTGAAAACACTCACTATATGTTATGTATATATATATACGGTTACATCGAAAATGAATTTCTCCAGTAACTTAGGGGAACCATCTGCAAACCTTATGCAGATGAACTGCACGAGGAACATGGATCAATTTTCTGAAAAGCAGGTGCAAATATCGTGCATGTGAACAGCTGCGTTTTGGTGTAAAGTTTTATTAAGAATTCGCCAATTTTCACAGAGTTTCATGATTTATTTTTTTTCAACGTTACGAATATGTTTTACAATACACCAGTTCATGCGTAAACAGTACCTTTAAGCAATATGGAATATTTAGCAAAATCTAGTTCAGAACAGTTGACTGAAGTAAGTGGCTACATTTACACTAATGAGTCTAAACTTTTGATGGGTAGTATATATCTATAGTCTCCATGTTTTGTAACAAAGGATAAGGATAAGGAATGAATATATATAGTATGAAGTTTAAATACATTTTTACATCATAAAACTTGCTTCTTATCTACGATAGCAGCACGATGTATGACATTTGCTGGTTCTATTTTGTGTAGTCTAAGTTCACTTCACTTCACTTAAAAATCATTCAACTGGTACTCGTCTCTTTTTGGTCTAATGTTTGAAACATGCTTCGACAGCATTATTAACACAATCTATGGAAATAGGTTAAGTGTTTCTCCCATCATGTCATACATTGTCATTTTCAAAATATTCCAAACATTTTTGAATAATTTTATGAGGTATCACTCTAACTATATAGTAATACAATAAGCTCTCCCTTTCCTTTATTTCATGCATATTAATGCTGACGTTTGTGAATGTCTACTAAACATATGTAGAACATCAACTTTATTTGATCTGACATGGTTGTATATTTTCAAAAATTAACACCATATATGTGTGCGCCAGTTCACTATTTAGAAGTTTACTAAAGGTACCGTGATGTGGGTATTCTAAGTTTGCAAACGTCAATCCTTTTTTGTAACCATGTAGCACAAAGAACAAACATACAAAAAACCCTATACTGAACACCAAAATAAACGCAAGTTTCGAAAACATGAAATCTCATAAAAGTAAGCGTTCATGTTATGTCTTCTATTTAAAAACTTTGCTGTTCAGTATAATATATACAGCCTGTGTCGGGGGACAGTGAAGGGAAGATGATGATCTGCACTGATTAATACACACAATGTCGGCTATTCGGTTGAGGCGGAATTGCAAAATCCCACATAACTTCATACTTATACTGTTCATGGCTAGGACAGTAAGCTGTCTTACAGCAGCAGGACAACGTGTCCTGTACAATACGGCAACATAGAAAACCTACACTACAAACAATGACATCGATGAATGGACTTACCCTGAACTTCGATGCACCAGGTCGGTAATGCGTGGCGTCGCTAGAGAGACCGTGTACGTCCTCTGATACGGTAGCTCTAGACTGCAGAAAGAAGAAGGAAATATAATACTCAACATTTGCTAAGGATCAATTTTTGATGATGTCAAAATATCATCCAACAAATACAGATGGACGGACAGAGGCATGACGTCATTGGTGCGATGTGCATCCAGACGGCGTCAGAGCACATCATCATTAGAGAGCATTGTCTTCCTCTTAGTGCCTCCTCGTGACGAACGAAGTCACATGCACTGGCAGCTTGAAACTTGGTCAGTCAATGCCATTTTGCAAACATCTTTGGAGTTATCTAAAGTGTGAATAAGTATAAAAATCGATATCAGACGTTTGGATCAGCTACAAAGCCATATAGGGGCGGTGGGGTAGCCTAGTGGTTAAAGCGTTGGCTCGTCACGCCGAAGACCCGGGTTCGATTCCCCACATGGGCATAATGTGTTAAGCCCATTTCTGGTGTCCCCCGCCGTGATATTGCTGGAATATTGCTAAAAGCGGCGTAAAACTAAACTCAGTCAGTCAGTCAGTCAGACCAAGCCATATGCAGGTGGTCGACAGCGTTACACTGAGCGGGAAGACAGGTTTCTAATGATTGCAACAAGAGGTCCAGTGATCAACAGCATGAGCATCGATCTCACCTTAGGCAAGTGACTTTGTTTAAAACGGCCTCTGTTCACTCATCAGAAAATGGATACCCGGTGGGATAAGTCATGTGACTATAACCTTCTAGCGCCTAACAGGCAGCCTGGGTTATCCGGGGTAATAATGTGTTAGCACCAAGAGCATGCTTACGAGCGTGGATATGTGTGGCTTATAGATATGCACTATTACAGCACCAGGCTGAGCACATCAACTTGATCACACACGCGCAGCTGACAGGATTAATTTTGACAAGCGACTTATTTTCATGTCTTTTAAATTTTAAGTATTAGTCGTATTATGTTGTAAACAAACCTTTACGTGAGTGAGTGAGTTTAGTTTTACGCCGTATTCAGCAATATTTCAGCTATATGACGGCGGTCTGTAAATAGTCGAGTCTGGACCAGACAATCCTGTGATCAACAGCGTGAGCATCGATCTGCGCAATTGGGAACCGATGACATGTGTCAACCAAGTCAGCGAGCCTAACCACCCGATCCCGTTAGTCGCCTCTTACGACAAGCATAGTCGCCTTTTGTGGCAAGCATGGGTTGCTGAAGACCTATTCTACCCCGGATCTTCACGGGTCAAATCTTTACGTATGTCGCACAATGTGACGTTTTACATTTTCAAGTGGAGATCCTTAACAAACTTTGAGTAGTATAAACGGCAGCAAATTAAATATTATCGTGCGAAATGCTTCCCGAATGTATTATCTATATATAGAATGTGTATAGAATAATAACACCCCAGTTTCTGGATGACATTGCCCTGTGAGTGACAGGTTTTGATGACCTCCAACCCACAAGAGGTAGGTCCAATGCGTTCTGGAAACAGATGACCTGGTTCTAATGTTAGATGAACCTGAGTTCTGGTTGAATCACTGGCGCGGCAGTGAAATTTGTGATAGTTTTCTTGATAAACTCTTTCAGTTTCTACCTGTTCAAGATCCTTGATTCGCTTTTGTGCAGTTTCACACGTGGGTGGTGTTATTTTGTTAGCAGTAGAGAAGGCTGTCCTCATAACGTTACTGGTCATGTAAACGGGAACACGTGACACGTATGAAATGCATTCATCAATTGCAATGTGATTTTAAAGTTGAGTTATATCCAATCTGTGTGCGTGAAGCTAGCCGAAATAACTTCAATATGAGGAATAGCGTATGCTCATCGCTTGGTGAATTCATCCACTAAGCACTTGCCTATATTTTGTTGGCATACACCAGACAGCTGTCGATGAGGACGCGGTGGTAGTGGTTGTATATGATTAACGTTATGCCCCAGTTCCCATCCGTCACCAGGGACAATCACCGACAACAAAGTTTTAAATCGTTTGTGTAATGATATATCATATAGCAAGTATGAATTGTGAGTGATGATGACATACAGATGAGTTCTCAACAAAGGAGAAACCTTGCAGGTCAATTGGCCACACGGTGTGTGGGTTGATATGGTTACCATTTCATTTTACCTCCCATATATATTATAAACTCCATGCCCGTGACCAACTTCAGTATCGCGGGGTTCTGGAACTGAAATGTCCATGGGAATTGCCAACCTAAACAAAGTGTAGGTCGATCATCTGCCCTTAAAATCAGGCATTGTAGGGAACCCGAGACACAGGGTGGCTATGTCGTTTGAAAATGATTTTTGTTTCAAAAACTTAATTATGTCACTGCAACAGGGTCAAAGTATTTAGTAAATTTCGTCAAAGCAGTTGCCCCTTACACGTAGTTTATAATCAGGTTTCAAAATAAACAAGTTATATGGAGTGTTACTAGATCATTCCGACAGGTTGACAGGTATGATAAACATGTTTTCTAAACTAAATAATGAAGCAATGACATTAAATTCGACACTTAAAAAGGTCAGTGTAAACTTTGCCGACCGGACAACAGACAGAAGCGATCATTATTACTGTTTGTCGGGAAGTCATTGAGTTTCCTGTTGATGCAGATCTCAATACGATCACACTTAATATTGAGAAATTATCAGACAATCAGACTGGATTATCGAAGAATTATCGATTCTAAACACACCCGGAGTATAATTTTCAGCAAACAGCCATGCCGTTAATGAAGTATTTAACAACCTGGGTTTAATTGTAGGAACCATTTCTAACGTTACAAAATAAGTGGATAAGCGAATCTCGAGATTAGAATAGTCAACTAAACACGTATATTTACAAACTGAATTAGTAATTGAAGAAATTAGACACATGTTACAAACGCTGCAGGCGCGTAGCAAGCCAAATTTTTCGTGTAAGCCACATAATAATAATAATAATAGTCGGTCATTTGTGGAGAAGCATTCTGAGAAACCATTGCATCGTGTGTACATGCAGTGTGTGGAACAGAATAGCAATCCCACCGACTCCTTCGCCTGGATGAAGTCGGCTGGTCTTAACAGTGAAACTGAGGGCTTTCTTTTTGCTGCTCAGGACCAGTCACTTCCCACTCGCAATCGCCTAAATGTGATTCTTAAAGAGAATATTAACATGAAATGTCGACTTTGCAATGGATTCACAGAGACTGTCCAACACCTTGTCAGAGGATGCCCGTCCTTGGCACAAACAGCATATCTTAAATGGCATGGCTCGTTGCTTTTACTACCGTCTCCGCCATGTCTGTGGCTTTGACTCCGAGGTCCATCCATGGTACGACCCTGAACATGTCCAGGGCATCATGGAAAATGATGCTTTCAAACTTCTGTGGAATAGGCCCATATACAGCCTCAGAAGAATTCCTGCCAACAAACCTGATCTTGTCTTTATTGATAAAGCCAATGAATTTATTTATATCATCGAATTCTCTGTCCCTTTTGACACCAATGTGATTGGCAAGATTCAGGAAAAGCATGATAAATATGCGGACCTCGCCTTTGAAATGTCTCGCTTGCATCCCAAGTACACTGTCGCCAGGCTCCCCATTGTTCTCGGTGCCCTTGGTTTGGTACCTCCTGATCTCTTGGCGCAGATCAGGAGAGTGCCCGGGTTCTCCACCAGGAGCACAGCCCTTCTGACACTCTGGGTAATGCAGAAGGCTGCAGTGTTGGGGAGCCTTCATATTTTCCGGAAAGTTCTTGGTGGGTTCGACTAGGCATTGTTTCCTGGGAGAAGTCCCATTCGCTGTCTGGGCTGCGTGTAGAGGGGGCGAGGGCCCTGAGCTGATGATGAGCCTTACCAGCCTGACTATGCCAGGATCACCCGTACCATCTCTGCTGCATACTATCTTTAATCTGTAAAACATAACAATAATAATAATGCATTTCTAACGCGCCTGCTTTCCACCTTACAGCTGTTCAACGGCGCTAAACAAATCTAGGGTAGAGAGACTCCAGAGAAAAGGAAGGTTTTTTAAGTGAGTTCGGAAGGATGAGACGTTGTTGATGCAACGGAGTTTAAGGGGAATAGAGATCCAAAGAACTGGCGCTGTCACTGAGAAGGCGTCGCTGCCAATTCTGGTTTTGGTCACAGGAATACGCAACAAACGACTTCTCTCAGATCTGAGAGATCTTGAAGGTTGATACTCGTTGACAAGTTCTTTCATGTATGTAAAAAGCAGAACAGAGCCGTTCTCTGGGTCCATGTAATTTATTTATACTGAAGACGGTAGACCTAAACAATAAAACAAAAACATTCAATATACATGGTAACATCATGGATGGCCTGTCACAGATGAAACATGTACATCGTAATCCCATATTACACATTGGTATAAGAATCGCGTATGTCTGAAAGTATCAGTTATCATTTTAGATTAGCACAGTGCATAAAAGTACAATATAAACATTCACATGGAAGAAAGCATCTTTTACATACAAAGTCAACTGTACCAATAGCACTTGCATAACTTCCAGCAAAGATACCAGACCCAGTGGGTATGTCACTTCTTATTTAATAGTTTTACACAAGTTAATCTAACTAATAACATACAATAACTCACATGAAAAATAAATGAAACTTTACACCGTTTTCCAGTTGAGGTATATAAAACTCACCCCCAACTACCTTGGATACATCTGTCCACAACCGGACGGGGCTTCCTTACCTAGTAGGATGCTACTACAATACAATGAGTAAACTGACAATTTCATGCAAACACATCGTGGCGATAATAATGCTGAATTGCATACTTTTCTACAAACATTATCACACTTGAGGCTAATCTAAGTGCTCCCGCTAACACGCGGTTTTGAAACTAACAAGTTGGAACAAATCAAAACAATGGAGTTGGAGTGAATAATTACGGTTCACGGAAACTGTAGAATGGCAGCGAGCAAGGGAGATAACTGCTTACGGGGAGTGACAAATAAAATAACAGTACAACCTAAAATTGTCACTAATTAGTGGATCACATAATACAAACAACATTTTATACACTATTCGTTCTCACACAACCATTGAGCAAAAACATGCTTTCAAGTTACAATTCTACTCTATAAACATTGATGACAGTACATTTAAAAAATGAAACATTTTCCCCATAACGAGTAATACATGGATGGCTACGAGATAATCACAATTACTCAAACAATCAAATTTCCGATCAATTAAACTTTGCCAGTAGCGGTATCACAGACAAATATACTGTTATAGCATAACAACACAATTGATAAGCGAAGGGAGTGTACTTACTCGTACATAAGTTGGCTAATTAGAGCTGGACAAAAAACAATGCGCTCTGTGGTCAAACAACGTGCTGCTCGGCTGGCTGGCTAAAACAAAGGGCCTGCCTTGGGCGCGAGATGAAGCGATAAGAGGAGCATTTCGGGTAACCTCAAAGTAATTACTTACGGCCTGTTATTATTCTTTTGTGAATGTGTAGAAATTAAAAGGGATCTTAAGCAAAGACCTCAAGTACAGATGTGAAAATATAGGAAAGGTGACATAAGAAATAACCTGTTAATCAGTAATGTTTACAAAGTTTTCCGAGCCCTGACGGAGTTTGTCGAAGATAATGTGAGTAAAGACGTGTGACTGACGACACTTTACATGTAGATGGGAAAGTCATCCTCATATAAAGATCTGTGTGTTAGTAAGAGAATCTTGAATCTTATCCGTTGTTGGATTGGTAATCAGTGCAGTTGCTGAAGTACGGGCGTTATGTGGTCTTTTGATTTAGTTCGGGTGATGATTCTGGCTGCACGGTTCTGAACTAGCTGGAGACTATGAATATGATTATTGCCAGAATATTGCCAGATAGGTTGCAAAGCTTTATATACTCTTCAAAAAAAGAAACTTGACATGCTGTTTTGGAGTGTATTTACTGAGTTCATATAACTGATTCAAACATGACATCATTGCTCAATTAGAGTAAAATCATCACTTTACAAATTTCCAAAACATGATTATCCAGAAAGTGTTCGGTAAAACCACAGAGGGCTATAAAAGCTACTTGGCCAGAGTAAAATGTCAGTATCTGGTGTGACCACCATGAGCATCGATAACAGCTTGGCAGCGGCGGCCCATAGAAGAAAGGAGATGGCCAATGCTGTCTTAAGGAATGTTTTGATACTGCGTGCAGTTCTTGTAGTGTCTGAGGTGGCGGATTACGCTAGCGCAAGCGTCGATCACGAGTATCCCATAGATGTTCAATGGGAGACAAATCCGGTGATCGAGAACGCAATGGTAACACCTGAACGTTGACGTTGACGAAAGATCCACCGTTGACGTTGATGAAGGGAACGACGTGACGTTGCAAAATCTCGTCTCTATATCGAACGCCATTCAATGCACCTACCACGAGCACAAGAGTTGGCCGGCCATTATGATGGATACTTGCCCACACCATGACACTCCCACCACCAAATCTATCCATCTGCTGTACACATTTATCGGCGTAACGTTCGTTCCGACGTCCGGTGTGAACGTCCATCAGCACGTCTGAGAAGAAACCGAGACTCATTTGGAGACAAATTTGTCCTCCATCTCACTCGTTGTCTGCACCATTGTCGACGTTCAGCCTGGTGACGTTATGTCAAGTCGTTACGTCGAACTGGTCTTCTGGCAAAATGTCCGGATTCTCGTAGCCGACTGCGCACTGTCTGGTCGGAGATTCGGCGAAGTCCAGGGATTTGGGTTGCTGTGGATGTTGCGGACGTGGTGCGTGTCTCAACCGGATGTTCCGATCCAGGGCGGCGGGGGTAACTCTAGGTCGACCTGACTTGTGTCTGTCATTAACACTCCCAGTATTTGTTGTATCGGGTCCATAGGTTTGAGATGGCCTTTATGGACACGCCGAAGTGCCTTGCCACCTCATGCTGCGATGCCCCCTCTTATAAACGGCCGATGGCGTTGTGTCGTTGAACTTCTGTCAGTTTTGGCATTCTTTTGTCGTCTATCGTGGCCTAAAGCAATGCATGTGGAGTGCCGTTGATGTGGCCGTTGAAGCCTACGGTCATAGGCTTCAGCTTGGGATGATACACAATTTCATAATGTACGTGCATTTCCTGTAGGGTGCGTTTTAGCGATTCACTACAAACGTGAGTGTGACGTTACGTATTTTTTCAACGTTTCTCTTTTTAAACGTTTTGTCGTCGGAAACCATTCCTCTACATGTTGGGATTCAGCATGGATTGGTTTGTGTCAAATATTTTCCTAAAAATTCAAATTGTTCCTCTGTCAAGTTTCTTTTTCTTCTTTGAAGAGCATATATTTAGGTAGTATTGAGGGCTTGCCGAACATTTTTAGCAACAATCATGTGTAAGTCCGGGCTTTTTTTATAATGGTAGCTACGCCCGTGTGTTGATGATGAGAAAAGTAAACAGAAATTATCTAGTGGGATTAATCGTTCATATCATTGTAATAATACTTTGCACCGCTATATATAAGAGAGATTATGAAAGGAAATTAATGGAGGTAGGAGTGAGTGAGTGAGTTATATTTAACGTCATATCGGCAATGTTTCAGCCATATCGTGACGAGAACAATTTTGACTTTGATAAAGAATATGTGCATATAATAAAAGGACAGTAAAACAACTAGATTATCACAGTTAGATTTAAAACTGGTATGTTAAGTTAAAACAAATAGCATTTATTTTGGACAATACAATATAAAAACATGCTATAGATCGCCAACAACTGAAAGTAGATCACCATTCTAGGGTCCATGGGGACTTACAGTACCTTTGACCAACAGTAGGAATTCATGGTGAACGGACATAGGTACGCAGCCATGGGCTCTATGCACACGAGATGCCTGAAACCTGTGTCGGAAGAATCGGAGACATCTGGATATTTCCGCCTCTTCCTCTACTTCTTTCACTTCCTCTTCTTGATTTCCACTTCTCCGTTGATCCCTGGGAAGTTTGCATATTGTAGTATTTTCTGTTGTTCCACTCGCAAGGCCCCTATTCGTTGTAGTTTTATGGCTATAGTTTCAGGAACTTCCATTTTGAGTTCTATAGGTTGTTTCCACTTTGTCCGTCCTCCATATATTGTACAATCTATGTGTGCCTATACCAAACTGTTTTCGTATTTCGACAGCTGGCTTTTCTAGGATTCCCCGAAATTCTAGGATTTCTTGGATGTCCTGCGGTGTGAGAGTTTTTCGTTCCGACATTGTACCAGCAGAGCATATAAACACGTTTTTGTCATATTTCTAATAAGAAAATAGCAAATGCTTGGCAAATGCAGCGAAATACCAGTGTAGTACATCCTTGTTCGTAATAGCACTTGTTCAGTGTAGTCCGCACCACACCAAGGTTTTGTCCACGAGTCTATACAGCTTTTAGCTCCTGTTTTCACTTTTTGTACCTACCCGTGTAGTACTTCCTCGCTTTTTCCAGTGGTTCAAACACTTCCCTCTCCCACTGCTCACTGACCAGTGCACCTTCCAGCTTTGTAACATGTTTTGTTTTATCTCGGAAAACCAAAGCGGGCAACTTTCAATCTTCGACAAACTTTGGAACTTCTAGCAAATCGTATCCTGGTAGAGCGATACCAAAAGGTTGGCTTTTCTCCGTTCTCAACTCCCACACAACTTGGTCTGTCGGTGGAAGATATCCATCTGTTTCTGGTGTGTGTGGCGAATCTCATACGGTTTCTTGCTGCTGCAGAGAATGGCTGGAGAGTCGGTTGGCTTTATGTAGCATCGCAGTGGTCACATACACAATTTGCTTTCTTTCGCGCTTAGAATGTCTATGTGCAATATCGTATCGGGCAGTTTCGATTACCTAATATGCATTTTTTTATAATGGGGAGAATATGTTTGATCAGGGCAACAGCAGTTTTAGCAACATTTCCACACAAACACTGAAATTTGGCTATACTTCTGGGGTTGTTTTGTATAGAGAACCAGCAACTGTCTACGCAGACGCTGGAGAATTCCCTTCATCTATACGTTTAATACATTTCCTTATTTTTTATTGTTTTTTGAAGAGTGTATAAATTAATGTGGATGACATAAATGATCTATTTAGTAGGAGCCGCCTATTTTTCTTCCGATGGGTATCTCGGCACAAATCTATGGACATGACACCAAAGTTCCACCAAATTGAACCTGTTTGGGGGGGTCTGTGGGAGAATTGAGATGAAAGGCCTTAACCACGGGTAGCTGTAGTCTAGTGGTTAAATCATTCGCTCGTCACGCCGAAAATCCGGGTTCGACTCCCAACATTGGTACATGTGTGGAACATTGCTAACAGCGGCGTAAAACCATACTCACTCACTCACCAAACGTCACATTATAATGCATGACACATAACATTTTTGTGCATTATTCACTACGGTGACTTTCAAGAATGTGATGACTTAGCTCGACCATTAAATAATGACCAGCAAAGAAATACCGGATCATTAGTATACAGTGGTGGTATTCATTTCGGTTTGGATTTGTTCATGTATTTTTGTACTCAAGTACCTCTCAATTATTTGATTAGTTGCGATCCATTTCACGCACCGCAGACAGCGTGGAACCCTTGTGGGACGTCTTTCAGGCGTCACCAGCATTTAGATCCTACATGGAGATAGCACGACCTAAAGCGCAGTAACACGCTCAGGCAAACTGACAATCCGGCAACTTGATTGCTGTCCGTCAAACTAAACGTTGTCTGATACATAAAAGTATAGTAGGCAAATACAACTGGCATAAACGTCAACCCAACATTGTCAGTGCAACATACACTTACACAGACTTATCATTGTTGGACCAGGCCGCGGACAGTAATGTCTATTTGTATCGAACATGAATGCACCCTGGTTAGAACCCCACCTCAATTAAGGAGAATACAATACTATCATGCCATGCCTCCAGCACTGTACACATTACTTCCACCATTTAAGTGCGACCAGGCGTGCAAATCGCAGTTTTTGTTTACCGGAAAATTGGCAAATGGTTATGACTACTTTCACGTCAGTGGTGCAAGGATCACCGACGCTGTTGTTTCTGAGGTTGAAGGACGCTCTGGTACTGAAAGGATGCAAGGTTGTCATATTTACGTGCACGTAACTTTACGGAAGTTACGCTGTGTCCTTAACATGCTTCAGGCGGGCTGTTGAACATCTTTGGTTTGATTCCAAGACTTAACCTCGCGATTCTTGGTCTGTCTACACCATGTAGTGTCCACAGGTTTCTGAGGTTGAAGGACGCTCTGGTACTGAAAGGATGCAAGGTTGTCATATTTACGTGCACGTAACTTTACGGAAGTTACGCTGTGTCCTTAACATGCTTCAGGCGGGCTGTTGAACATCTTTGGTTTGATTCCAAGACTTAACCTCCCGATTCTTGGTCTGTCTACACCATGTAGTGTCCACAGGTTTCTGCCAGTTAATAAACAAACGAGTGCA